CAAAAACTCTCATTGTACGTTTTATTAGATTGTCCTTAAATCTCCAAATATTCGGATCCATAATAGTTAAATTCAAAGTATTCTTATCATCTGGCTCTCGGTAATGTTGAAGCTGTGCATCAGTAGTATTCATATCAAGATCTCGACAACCCAAATAATTCAAACTGTAATGATTATGTAGTGTTAACGCGTATTTTGTATTATGTAAACATTTTGTTGCAAAGCCACTTGGCATATGTTTTTCAATTCTCTTTACATGTTGCAACATATAAAAGTAGTTCGGAATATCGGTGGAATAAGGCGGTTGACCTTCATATTTCGGATAATAGGTGTTTCGAAAACAGATACCAGCAAATGTTTTACAATTAGGACTTTTAAATTTCTCACCATATTCAACAATATCATACCAAGATGTCCAATTACCAAGTGGCATAATCACTTCATCAATATCAATACCCGCCACATAATCATATTTATATATGTTCCGATAAAAACAATCGTTGTATGGAAACATTTCGTTTAATATCATATTTAGATAATCCTCCTTCATAATGTAACGCTGGAAATTAGCAAAGACCGGCTCACCGCGTGCATAAGAATATGGATATACCCTAAGAAAACCCTTTTTCTTATAATAATCAATCACTTTTGTCGCATTTGGATGTACAGCAAGTGAGTAAGCAATAACTTCTTGGGCACCTAGTATTCGCATCATTTCCATCCACTCCACTAAGCGTGCGGATATATCTGCAAATGGAAACATGAAACCCTTAACACAAACCGCGAAACCACCTTTCTTTCTTTTGCCTAATGGTGGTTCATAGATGACTTTTAAATGATTTGTAGCTTTATCACACTCTTTATTTACAATGGATATACTTCGTGGTGCTTCGGAAGCTTTCTCTTTAGGCAGTATACAGGTTAACATATGTGGATACAAGTGATTAAATTTATTTCCCCAACCCTTAATCCATACAACTAAATATTCAGTTATTGGCACAATCACAGGTTCCTTTTGTGATTCGAACCAGAATTGACAGTAATTCGTATTGAATTTCTCTTCAATTTGGTTTATCATCGCAAAAATGCGTACTACGGGATGTTTTGGAATATCGGTGCGATTATCATAGTATGCAGCAAACAATTCAAATGTTATATTCTTATTACTGTAGTGTTGATAAAAATTATTATGGAACTGTATTTCAAGTACTTCCGGATATGGAGCACATGTGGTATTTAAACGAAAACCTCTGTAGCGATTTTTCACATGAAGCTCTAGTGGCAGATTAGGTAATTCTTCATTTACCGCTTTCACCATTTCTTCGAAGGTGGGTTCTAAATATAATTTATTAGATATTAAACATTTTAAAGCAATTAATTTTCATTACCTCGCACTGATGTATCCAATTTCAGTTCTTGCGGATATATGAATTTATGAATTTTTGTAGAAAAACTGATATAACCAAAATTCAGTAATATAACTGCGATAAAATTAATGAAAGTGATAAATGCCAAAATTTTGAATCCGCGTTTTTTAAACATTTTGTTCTAACTTTAATTATACTATTAATAATTAGTAATTGTAGTTATAATATTTTTTAAATAACACAAATTAAATGAATTAAAATTAGTTGCCGATTTTTGAGTAACACACTTTCTTAATCGCAATTTAACTGAAAACTAAATATTGGAACATTTTTTTATTTTTATTTAATTCAATATATTTTCAAAACCAAACAGAAACAAGCTGAGTCAAGCTACCAACATATTTGTTGATATATCTTTGTTAATCCAAAAACTTTATTTAATATAGAAGCAGACTTCGCTAAAAAATTCGCTCAAACTGACTACAGTACTGGAGTCCTAGAAGAATTACACATGTAAGTAGATTAAGACAGAACTATCTGAACTTACAACTGAAACAACGTGTCTTTATTTGGTTTACAAAGTGAGAATTTGATAAGTGAGAATTGAAGTATAATGAAGGTCTGTAGAATTGAACTTTTATAATATCAAAGTATCTTAATATTTTACAACAGATCATAAACTAATTTAATTTTTTTTTATCAGGTTGTTAAAAGATAAGAAAGCTTTTCTTTCTATAAAAATGTCGTTTTTATTTCTTAATGGGATTTTGAAAAATAAGTCAGAAAAGTTTAGACTTAACTTTCCATAGAAAATCAATTAACATTCATTGTTTTCTTAGAAACATCAACACAATATGTATATTTCAATGTGAACATATTTATTCAATTTATAATTACATTATTTAAGAAATACGATTAAATACGACTAATATAATATATTGAATAACTTGTCACATAACATAATATGTGATATCATGATAAGTTAGTATCGCTTATCATAAAAAAATTTTTATCGCAAATTAAATAAATATATATGTTTTAATTAAATACGACATCAGAATATTCTGAATGAAAACTATTAAAGCTTTCATCTTTAAAATTTTTTAAAGATTAAAATGATAAGAATGTACACTTTTTTGCAATTGATTTTGTAGTTTGGAGCTTTCCACACCTGACAGGGGTGTATGTCTCGGATTTTATTATGAAGTGTTGTTATAAGTAAAATCCTTTTCATAAAAGTAAACGAAGAGCAGAGCAAATATCTAATAAAATAAACCAAAAATTAAAGCAAAAATAAAGTGGAATAATATATTTATTAAAACTTCTGCCATAATACAAAAGAATAACTAACTTTATAAGGACATAAGAGTCAATAGTCAATAGTTAATAGAAGGTTAACGTCAATGGTTAATAAAAGCCTTCGTATAAATACACGAAGTTCCCACCCATTTACTTTAGATAACAGCACAATCGACAATGTTAGCTTTTTCAATAACCTAGGCTGCACCATGGCTGTCAATCGCGGATCTGCAGAAGATATAGATGTTAAAGCAGTAAAGCGAGAAATGTTTTCGATCGATTAAAAAAAGTATGACTATCGAATCAGATTTCAAGATCAATAAAACTGAAAATCTATTCATCATATGTTAAATCTGTCATGCTCAATGGTATCGAAGCTTGGCGCAACAACGCCAGTGAAATAAAAAATATTTAAATTTTTAATAACAAATATCTACGAATCATCTGTAAAATATTCTGGCTTAATATAATTAGCAACGAAGCGCTCTGGCAACTTTGTAATAAAAAATAAATTAAATACTGTGTAATGAGAAGACGCTGGAGATGGATTAGGTACACACTCCGTAAAAACCCTATTAATATATCAAAAGCCACATTAGAATGAAATGCAGTGGGTAAACGAAAACCTGGCAGACCACGTAATATATGGAGAAGGTCATTGTTAGCAGAGCTTAAATCTACAAGACTGAACTGGTCACAAGTAAAATCATTATCTCTAAACAGAATAAGATATTGTAATTGAATTAAAATATTATGCTTCCAAGTGCATTAAAAAATGGGGAGAAACAACAAAAATTCCAAGGCTAAAATTCAAACTGAACCGAATCGTGTTGAAGACCTCTTATTTTAATTTGTGTAAACGTTCCCAAGCGGACCACAAAATAGAAGCTATATCTTTAGCAAAATCAAATGTCATATGTCTTCTTATTATTCATCTCACACAGCATTGAGTTCTGTTCAATAATTATACTTTTTCTTCTTAAAATTAGCAAATACTTATTCCTCCATAATTGTTAGTAATGGAATCTCTTTACTTAGTTTTTTGACCAAAAGACTCTTTCACAAAAACACCAACTGTTAGATCATCTTTTTCATAAAAGATGATCAGTAATCTGCTCATAGCCTTACTGCTTTGCTTTGACGAAACCTTTCATTGCCAATCAATTTTTCTGTACCTGGACTTATTAACCCAAACTATTGCTTTTGCTCTACTGTTAATAAATCAACATTTATGTCTACTATTCCTCTCTCTAATAATAATAACAATAAATATAATATTTCACTAATTGCTTTAATATTATAGTTATATATTGGTATAAAATATGTTATAGATATAATATATTTAATAATACTGTAAGACTACAATAAAAACATATTTAACACAAATAATATTAAAAATATATAATTTTAATATAAAATTAATACATAAATGTAATGTATATAACATTAAATAATATACATTTAATAGCATAACATAAATTAAAATAAATTTTTTCGTTTTTGAAATATAGGTACCTACTTTTATCCACTATTCTTATTGATTTAATTATCAACTTTTTATAAAACCCAGTTTACGAAAAACTTTCACTGAGCGATCCAATATTTGATCCTTAAATCGCATAATATTTGCATCTATTACAGGCTGTTCCAGCGTATCTTTATCGTCTGGTTCCCGGTAATGCTGCATTTGCACATAAGTGGAATTTATATCTTTCGCACCACAACCCACCCAGCTCAAACTGTAGTGGTTATGCAAACTTAATGCATATTCCGTGTTGTGTAGACATTTTGTGGCCATCCCTCTTCTCAAATGTTTTTCCACCCTTTTTACGTGTTGCAACATATAAAAGTAACTTGGAAGATCGTTATAATAAGGCGGCTCTTCTGCATATTTTGGAAAGTAAACATTCTGAAAACAATATCCTGCATTAGTTGAACACTTCGCATCGGCATCTGTAAGTTGTTCCCCGAATTTTATTATATCATACCAATTGGTCCAATTACCAAGTGGCATAATCACCTCATCTACATCAATGAGTGCTATGTATTTGTATTTGTACATATTTCTGTAGAAACAATCGTTATATGTCACCAATTCGTTAAGACGCTTATTAAGTCTATCACTTTTGATCAAAAAACTCTGTAAATTCGACAAGTTGGGTTCGCCTCTTGCAAATGTATGTGGCCGTACATCTATGAAGCCTGTACTCTGATAGTAATCCAAAACTTTTGTAACATTTTTATGTGTTTTATATTTATACATAATAATTTTATCTGCACCAAGCAAACGCAACAGTTCCAGCCATTCAACAATACGTGCTGATAAGTCCTCGAAAGGATACATTAATGCTTTAACACAAACGGCAAAACCACTTTTTGTTTTTGGTTTTTCTGGTAATTCATAACTTATTTTTAAATTATTTGTTGCTCTGTCACACTCTTCTTTCACCAAAGACACAGTTATTGGTATATCATTCATATTCTCTTCAGGTATAATACAACTTAGTAAATATGGATAAACACTTCTAGCTGAATTGCCCCACTTTTTATACCAAATGGTCTTATATTCAACTATTGGTATTATTACTGGCTGGGTTTTATTTTCATACCACAACTGACAATAACTCTTCGGAAACTTTTCGTCTATTTGATTCACCATACTTAGCACGCGTATCAATGGTGCGCCTGACACATCCGTTCGATTGTCATAATAAGCACCATATAAAGCAAAACTAACATTTTTATTTTCAAAATCTTGATAATACACATTTCTGAATTTTATATTAAATAATGTAGGATACGGAGCACATGTCTTGTTCCAACTTTTAAATCGACTTGCGTACAAAAAATTAAGTGCCAGTGCTGGAAGTTCCTTATCAACCGCATTGACTATATCCTTATCATCGGGCACTAAAAGAATATTTAAAAAATATTTTGATCAAATTTTTTATCACTTTATTTCATCTTTTGTTTGTTTTGTTTTTTTTTTGTTTTTTGTTTGATTTCTGTATACCTTCTCTTCTATCCAAAACAATTTGCATTAATTTATTTTCTTCTCTTAAATCCCCATTGATGTATATAATTAATATTAACATAAACACGAGTAAAATTATGATGAGTAAAAAACTGCGAACCAAGTACTTCTTGTGAAACATTTTGATTGAATCACTTCCAGAGAAAATCGATTTCGTCTACCTTTGCAAACTTGAATGGATTGAGTACTCCACTTGTTGAGATAAGTAGTAATAATTTTCACATAGTTCGACACTTAGTTAATTATTTTTAAAAAATGTTGAACCACTTATAATTTTATTTTAACCACTACAATGTTAGGAATTTTTGGTTTATCTATAAAATGCGTCAAAACGCACTTCCAGTTGTGATTGATTGTACTAATGTTTTGCTATAAATAGTTCTAGACACCCCAAAACAATCAACTCGAATGTGAATTTGCGATTTCGTAGTGAGTTTGTATTAAACTATTGATGCTCCGCTTGGGAGAAATCCAGAACATTCGCATTATCGGGAGAATTTTTACTCAATTTAGTTTAGTAAAATAATTACAAATGAGCTTTTTGATTATTTCAGTTAGAGGAAGTTCGTTTACGACTATGTATGTATGTTTATTGCCACTGATACGGAAAGATTACCAAACTTTATTGATGTTAAGATAAAGAACTACTAAAAAATATGTTCATTAGTTTTTAATTGTGAAATCAATAGGAAAATTTTGATTTTTGAGGAACAAAAGCTTTACATAATTGTCTATTTATAACCGTTTATGAAACTTATCAAAAAATTGATTTACTTGCTCACATACTTATGTATGTTACCAGTGATTTATGTGATTATCTGCCTTAACGACTCAACACACATATTAAAATAATCCACCGATAGAAGCCTCTTTTGAAATTCTAAAGAATTTCCAATTGTACCAATTGAAGTTATGTGTTTGGCACAACTTTCTCTTTTGTAAGGACCGAAGCCTATCAATACCTCTGCTGAGAAAGTAAATAAATACAATCATACTACTATTCATACTACATAACATAAGTTGGAGTTTTAACCACAACCTCGTGTCCAATCTAAAATGGGCAGAACAGTCGAAGCTGCATGCACTGACTCCCATAGTACCAGATATACACTTCCAGTCAGATGTCGCAAGTGAAAACTGACTCACTATCATTTATACTCCAAAAAGTGTGGGATGGTGCCGAAATTGTAATTGCCTTAGGCATGCATTACCTCGGGAATATTCTAACTCCAATCTCGCAAGATAGTTGCTCGTATATAATCAGTCAATGTCATACAAACACAAGATCAGGTTAACAGTCAGGGTTGGATTAAAAAAGGTTATACGTACATCGACTATTACCAGGCCATTAACTAATCCATTGTAATACTATTTAGAGAAGAATTGGATTTGATATATTAACCGACTATGCTCCTATAGGAATCCAGAACTCTGTGATATTCTGTTCAATTCAGATAATCTTTACTAATTTTTGAATAAGTTAAATGAAATTAATAATTATTTGTTATTAAATTTTTATCTTCATATATGTGACTGAAAATAAAAGACAACACCCTAAATATATTTTATAAAAAATACAGTAGTGGCTATAAAAATTGCTTTAATCTTAGAACTTTGTATATAAACCAGCTCCAATATGTATATTGTAAATGGATTTATTTAAACTAACAATATTTAATAGAATTATAGTTAGCTTTTTGTACGAGAATAACTCAGTTGATTTTGTGAGTTTTATAATATTAATGTATATTAGGGTTGATGATATTGTTTTTATAATATTTTCCTTTTTATAAAAACAAATAATAATATTATATATAATATTGAAGCGTAAATACATGAGATAAAATTTTGATATATATTTATTTATAGTAATATTTGTAATTATAAAACTATATTTTACAATACTAATTTATTAAGCTTTATAAACTAACAACAACCAATTACAACAGCAAACTACTATATCAACTGGAATTCAATGGAAGAGATCCTGATAGTTTCGGAGGCCTAGTAGAATCCTATAAATCCTACTTTTGCATGCAAGCACTCCTACAAAAAGGTAACCAATAGTACAACCCAATGTTTGCAATGTTCTCAGCGGTCAATTAAAAATTAGTTTTAGACAATACCGCAGTAAATAAATATCTCATCTAAAGATAGAAATAAATATCATATCTAGTAATAAGAGTAAATTAAGAAAATCTATGTATAACAATAAATGTTGGCCATTCATCTTTATAAAAACTATCATAAATATTTAATTGCTTAAAAATTAAAAATAATGCATTTTCTGAAAATAGATTCAATTTCATTTTTAATATTATTCCATTTTTAATATTTTTTAATCGTATAATTTAAAAGAAAATAACTTTTAAGGTAATATTCCAGGCGAATTCTTAGACAATGAATAAATTGAGTAATATAAATTCGTATAACAGAAATCCTTTCATTTTTTGCAAGATCTTTGTTGAAATTTACATTCTGATTCAAGCAAATCTCAATATTTTTGTGAGATTTAATATTCCATTTAATTTCTTGATATTCAATTAGCCATTCGCTAATTAAGCCGCATAGTGTGAACACTTTATTTTAATAGTATGTATTACTATTGTTATGCTATTTTTTTTCAAATGGCTTTTAAAGCTTAAAAGGGTTAATTATATTTTTCCATCAGTTTTAAGTTCTTTATTTATTTAGCAATCATTATAACATAATACTTATCTACTCTAACACACTTTAGAAAATTTGCCGATTTTTACAAATGTTACTAGTTAGTTTTTTATATGTGCCATAAATGAAACCAGTTTATATATCTTATCTATTGAAAAAGTAATGACTTCATTTAAATTTAAAAACATTCTTTCTGCATGTACTTTAACTGTACTTTGCACTTGATTCATAAACACTTGTTTTTTGTGTACTGTTCATTCCAATTACACAAAATGAGAACGCGTCAGTACACAAAATTCATTACCAAATAAGAGTCAAGTGTGGTAAGTGTGGCATGTGTTTCTTAGCGTTTACACGTATTGCAAATACATTTAAGTAAACAATAAAATGATAAAGAAATTTAATTATCAAACAATAGAACAACTTTAATCTATGAATTGTCAAAAAAAATTCATTTCATTTGCATGATTGCAACATTTTAAAAAATTTTATAATTGATGGTTATTAAAGGAAAACCCAATTAGTCATTAAAGCCGGTTACTTTACTGACTAAATTGCATTTGTTGCAATATATATGTGATTTTAAAGTACTTCATAATAATATATAATAATATTTATTAATATATAAATTATATATATAATGTTATTTATAACACTATGTATCACCATTTATATTTGTACCATATCGAGTTCCTGGACACGCCTATTTGTCAATGGGCGTGTACTTCATTCCACAGTATACTTCACGATACTTAGTCCACTATTATGGTGGCTATTACTACAAAAATTTAGACTGTTACTTACAAAAATCTACTTTCCCAAGTACTGATTCTATAACGTGTATGATTATGGATGCAAATTAAAAGTATAGATCTTCATCAATGGAATTGAAACTATTAAGGCAGTATTGTTTTAAATATTAAGTACTTTGAACTATAGCTTAGTATCGATAAAAAATTAACTTGCTAGTATCATACAGCTGATACTATGTGATGGTAATATGAATACTAAGCAAATCTGATGAGGGATGGATGCAAATACTAGATTCACACAATAGTTTTGTTTGTAATTTTGGCAACAGTGGCAAAGGAAGTGGAGTGTTTTTATTAGTGAAAGACCAGTACAGAGTGAAATCGTTATACAGATCACTGTAAACTGTAAATTGTAATGATGACTATCGATTGCACCGATTCATATAAACTTTGTATAGGCGCTTGCCTTCTTTGTAGAACTTAAAAATCTTTACATATTTTATAGAAATTATGATATTTATCGATATTCTTCATGTAAAATTTATAGAGTATAATAGTCTCTCTATATAAATATATTATTTTGATATGTAGATACTATATTCATATTTATTAGTCAGTGCAGATTTTTTTTTTCAAATTTCATGCTATTTATCGAATCATCGTTTTTTATCGTTATAAAAATCCCCTGTATGTTGAGCTTAGACATATATGTATGTAGATCAAATTATAAGAATCAAATACAATTCAATTGAAGACCATATAAACTCAATAATTTGTATCGCGGAACCATCATATCACTAGAGATATTTTTATATAATTTTAAAGAAATCTCATTTTAATCATTACGTTCTGTGATTTTAAACTATTAAATTGTTTTCGACTTCAATAATATCTCCTATGATTACTTGATTACTGGGTACTTACTAAATTTATTTCATCACTAAAAAGGTGTTACGTCTATAACAAAAATTATTTGACCTTAGATACTCTATAACAGTTAATTGTTTTACACATACCCACAATGAAGAACGATAGATATTTTATTTGATTAGATTATTGAATATTTTTGTTTAGCGATAATTTCAGTTTATAATTTTTTGGTTCAATTACTTGGAGACCCAAATTGTTAGTTAATCGCTGTTAGAGTTATAAGTCGGTTGTGTGAACTTGTGGTTGAAATACTCTTAGTTTCTATTTTAATTATTATTAGAATAAATTTTAAAAACACAATATGTATAAATTAAAGTTAATATTAGTGGCTATTTTGGCTATTGTGGTTACTTTCCTACAAAGTAGTAGCCAAGCCACGTCTTTAGGTCAAATTGAAAGTTTGAAATCACAATTCTTACCGAAAGAATATAGGAATACAAATTTTACATTGGGTATGATATATTTAGATATTAATATAATTTTTGATTTTTGTAAATAACAAATTTGCTTAACAAAAATTGATAACGATTGAACACTGATAATAGTTAAAATCTTAAAAGTGATATGATTTGCTTTGTTAAATCGGTTTTAATTGATTAATTATGTTTAATTATTAAAATTGTTAATTTAAGAACAGACAAATGGAAGTAATTTAATAGAATATTTTTAGTTCACATACATTTTCTGCATTGTATCTCAATTGTGTTCATGTGATCATATCAATCGCCTAAGAAATTGTATCATCTCTCCAGTAATAATACATATTTTTGAATATACCATAAAAATGTTTCTTTCATTTAATTGTTAAATAATGTTTATAATAAATAAACCTATTCGAAAATCATTTTACCCCTTTAAATCTAATATATAGACCAGTGGTTCCCAACCTTTTTAGTAAGGATACGTACAGTTGAAAAATAATAAACTGTACGATTATTTTAATATGCTTTATACATATCTGGTATAATGTATAATGAACTGTATAAGTGCATAGGTATATTATATAGACTATCAAATAGGTATATAATTACTTGGAAATTGTTTTTGCTTATTTTCTAATAAGTCAGGTCTAATAAGTGGACAAACTACAAGCTATGTATCGACACCTGTTAAATTTGATTCACGGACCATTTTTAACCATGATATGATTTTCCATCGTACTTATTAATAATAATTGTAATATTAACGCTTAAAAAAATTAAGAAAAATTTTGAAATGTTTATCAAAAGTAAAATATACTTTATTTCTAAGAATACAAAATGACTCAAGTTCTGACAAATATTCAAGGTAACTGATAAAGACGTTAAACATATGCGGTTAGAATTATGGTCAATTTATTACTGCAGTGCCGAATAATTATGACAATAAAAAAATGGTTGGATACAATTGTTGATTTGAATAGTGAAATTGTAAAATATAATAAAATTTAGTTATGTAATTAATACATTACATAAGAATGGAAGAATGGAAGAAAACTATATGAAAGAGTTCTCTGCTCCCAGTGTAAAGAATCACTGTGGGCATAATAGATCTTTTGGGTAAACATCTAAACTGAACCGAACAAAAGTTGTTTAGCTTTTAAAATAACATTCGATGAGATTTTTTTAATGGAAATTCATTCAATTGGGAAATAGAATCAATATGATCTCAAGTCATATGCTCCCACTTAGAATTGTCTTTCTAATCCCGATTAAAACCGTGTTAATTTAATTTTTTATAAGTCGTTTCTCTTTGGCCAGCAAGACCCTATGGTTTCCATGTTAAATAACAAAAATATTAAAAATTATGATATAAAATAAGTTATTACATATACTCTAGTTACAATATAAAAATGATTTATCTTCTTTATGATATTAAGATCACAAGATTACACGTTTCTACCATCGGTATAATCGATGTTTTCAACCAATATCGATTCTCTTTTATTTTTCATTGTATTTCTAATAAATTTGTGGTATCAGAACTTTTGAAGACATCTTATATACGTTTTTATTTTAATAATAATAATAACAAATCCGATCTGCCATTGTAATATATAAGCAATTAGTACCTTAATTTTATAAATGGACTTAAGGTTTATTCCATGAAACCTGACAAAAGAGACGATAGATGATGTCTTTAAGTACCTGTAATAAGCAAATATATCAGTTTATGTATATCTCAAAAATAAGTATATTACTATTTTTATAAATACAGGTTTTCTATATTTATAATTTATATTTATTTATTTATCTATTTATGACATCCATAATTTTGCATATTGACTAGACGCAGTTAATTTCACCTGTAAAAGATGAAAGTTTTTAATAGTAGTTATATGCTGAAAATAGACCCTTTAAGAAATATATGGTATGGTTTCATAATAATTCAATTAATTAATTAATGAAGATACAATGATAAAGCATTATTTATTTAATAGAGCTTTTTATTTTAAGTGTAACTTTTCAAAGAACTTAGTAAGGCTTTACTAAGTCATTCAACACTAGCCTCCATTATGATAAAATGTATAGCAGACTTTCCTACCGTCTTCCTGATTTCAAAAAACCGACTTTTAATAATTATGATCAACTTGCAATTACGTGTGGCAATGGTCAATAAAATATCTACCGACAGTATTCCTAGATTATACAACCTTGAATGTACAAGAGCAAGGTTAGTGACTTAACAGATGATAAACGTTCTTGCTAATCTGGAACTGTCAAATTTGGTCTCATACAAAAATATAACTTTTACCCTTTATTTGAATACTTTCTCAAGGCGGAATTTTACTATAACTGATTACGAAAATACATAGAAATATGAATACATTATAAAATAACACAAGTTTTTTGTAGAGCCTTTTAGAACGTTAAAAAAATGTTAGGAAACCGTTCATTACTTCAAGATAAATCAACGTTAAATTTTGTTATCGTAACTCGTCATCATTGTTATTTGATAGTCATTCCAAACTTTGATAACTGAAATATCATTATAAATATTTTAAATAATTTTCTTTTATCCTTTATATAAGTATCCTTTAAATGAACTCATTGAGCTATATACATTAAGACCGAAAAGTTTTCGGAAATTCTCATTTAAAATTCGCGCGCTGTATATTTTTCGATATTTTAATTTATGTAGTTTGGCAGCACTGTCCTTAATTACTATGCCAAAAATGAGCGCGATCTGTCAGACAGTTCGTTTACGGCAGCTGTTGAAACCAGTTCACCTCAGTAGGGCGTTGCGAAAAAAACAATGGAAAAAAATATTGAACAAAGAGTTTGCATCAAATTTTGTGTTTCGAACGAAATTTCGTGTGCAGAATCGTTGCGAATGCTACAAAAGGCTTATGGGGAATCAGTTTTATCGAAAACTCAAGTTTATGAGTGGTACAAAGCCTTCCAGGACGGTCGTACGACCGTCGAAGACATTTCGCAACGCACTACTGAGGTGAACTGGTTTCAACAGCTGCCGTAAACGAACTGTCTGACAGATCGAGCTCATTTTTGGCATAGTAATTAAGGACAGTGCTGCCAAACTACATAAACTTAAAATATCGAAAAATATACAGCGCGCGAATTTTAAATGAGAATTTCCGAAAACTTTTCAGTCTTAATGTATTTAATCATAAATTTTATTCCTGAATCATATTTGTATCTTCTGTTAAAATCATTTATTATGTACTCCTCTGATTTTCATCATATTTTTAAAAATATATATATATGGATATAAATTAATATATGCTAAAAACCAAAATTCATATAAATTATATGCTATTTTTATCATTTACAGATGACATAAAAAAGGTCTATCGCGAAAAATGCAAGAAAGTATCAGGTATCGATAACTCTACTCTCTACCATGACATTGAAAAGGGTGCAGCATCTTTATCCGCATGCGTTTCCGGATTTACAAATTTCTCAGCAATACAAGAGGAAATCGCAAAGGCAACTCCTATTGGAGAGTTGGACTCAGTTTTTCACAATTATTGCACAAAAATACCAACCATAATGGAATGTGTTCAAAAGTTCAATCTAAAAGTACAGCCGTGTCTTAGTCCCGAAGAGAAGAACCAAAATGCGGTTATGATGCGTGTAGCTAAAAGTTTGCTTAAATTCATGTGTGATCGTGGAGGCGATCAAATTGCACTTTTCGTCGCTGAAGACGGACCTGAATGTATTGAAGCAAATAAAGAAGCTATAACAAATTGCATGAATAATTCATTCTCTCAATATATGCCAAAAGATGGAAGTATACCAGATATAAATGATTTACCAGAATTAGTTTTTCAACCAAAACAATGCGTTGATCTTGAACGTTTCGAAAAGTGCACCATACATCATCTGGAACAATGTCAAGAGGTGACCCCAGCGAATATAGCTGAATCGATTTTCAAATTCATTAAAAATGAAACCAGTTGTCAATCATGGATCGATGCAAAAGCAAATGAACGTTCAGTACTCAGAGATCCGAAAAGCAATGGCACTCTAGAGCTAAGCTATAATTTACTTTATATACTCATATGCAGTCTTTGGATTTTAGTACACAGAAGATATTTTTTATAAAAATTTAAATATATTTTTATATGAAACTTAGTGTAAATTATTTAAAATAAGTTGACTTTAACTCAAATTTTAAACAAAACAAAATTTTATTAAATTATTTTTCAAAATGAATTTGCTTAAAATTATTTCATTGTATCTTATCAGTAATAGTTTATCAATTAGAATTGTTTACGTATAACT